TGCCTTTGGTTGAATGTCCCCCCAAAACTTAATCCCCACTGTAACTGTTGAGGGCCGGCCCCGCCCCTCCTGGGACTCGGTGGGGTCCTCCAGCTGGTAGGAGGCTGGGCCGGGCATTCGGGTCTTCTTGCCCCTGGTTCTGAGTGTTCAAGTTCTAGGTGCGGGAGGGATCTTTAGTTGAACATTAGACTTGTTTTGTGATGTGAGTCGTGAGGGAACAGGAACTCCTGCTGACACAGGGAGGTCCTGAAATTCGTATTCCTGTCTCCTCATCTCCCCTCGCCACCCCCACCGCCCCCACATCGCTGGGCTGGGGTTGCCCCATCAGGAACCTTCCCCCATAACCTCCCCATTCTCTTCTGTGCTTGCTTAAGGCTTCCACGTATCGCTGTATAATTGCACAAGTACTTAGTAAAATAATTAATTGTGTGTGGTTTCCCTATTACTATTAAGTTATTTTTGGTGTCTGGCCGGTGCAGGGATGAACATCTAGACCTTTGTTATCAGCACTATGCTCTAACCAACTGAGCTAACCGGCCAGCCTAGTCTGCCTATTAGAACTGTGAATTTCTTGAGACCAAAAGGCATGTCTAAAGGGCATGTACCTTTGAATCCCCTAGGCCTGGCCCAAGTTCATACTAGATGCTCAATAAAACGTTTGTCAAAAGAATGCATGAATGAATGTGTGCACACTACTGAAGGAAGTATTTTTTTTTTCCTTTTTGTCTTTTTTCGTGACCGGTAACGGGATCGCAACACTCAGTGTCGCGCCCGTACTGTGACCGGCAACAGGATCGCAACCCTCGGTGTCGCACCCGCACCGTGCTCAACCAGTGAGCGGACCGGTCTCTATATGGGATCCGAACCCTCGGCAGGAGGGCCGCCACGCTCCCAAGCGCCACACTCTACCGAGTGTGCCAGCGGGCCGGCCCTGAAGGAAGTATTTAAACCTCTCACCTACACCTTCCCAAAGAAAGTGACCAAAGTGTGTGGGGTGGGGAGGGGGCATGTGAAGTTATGGTAAGGGGGTTCTCATCGTGGAGTTTATAGCCTAATTGGGGACATAACCATCACCATATAAACAATCAGATCTGGTCTAAGCAAATGGTATATGGTTTGTCTGAAGATATTAAAAATATATACACCAAATATTAACAATTGGTATACTTTAATTTTATAATTTTACTACAATACACATGTATTACTCATGTAACAGACAAGGTAAGTTGGTTTTTCTGAGGTACAGTATTTTGACATCTTGGTAGGACATCAAATGTGGATCAGTGTGGGTTCAAATTTGGTTATCTTTTCACTTTCCCACACTTATTAACATCTAGTGTGTATCCTAAATGAGCCTCTGACTTAACTTGAGCATTAAGAATGTTCCCTTTTTCACTTCCTGTCCTTTATTGCACAATCAGGAAGAAAAGTACATGAGCTTAAGTATTAGAAATTACTGCAAATTCAAGTTCCAGATCTTAGGCAATAGGGCATTTGCCCAGTGCACACTTTCTCTTCTTCAGACTGAGATGAAAGTTTTATGTGAGGAGGTTTTTGGATATTTTATACTATCAGAATGTTAAGACTGTGATCACCATGTAGTGCAGCAGAGGAAGCAGAGATCCAGGGAGGTGAAGGAACTAATCTGTGGTCACAATGAGAGTGGTTGAGCAGGGACTAGAAAAACCCAGAGCCTTTGTTGTCCAGTGCCTTCTCCTGCCATAAATTTGTTCCTCTGTAATTCATTTCTTAAAAAAAGAAGTGAAGAAGTAACTGCTTTGGCCATCTGATGCCTGTGGGAGCTCTGTCCCACAATGATGCTGTTCCTCTTAATGAATAAACAACATAAAACTAATTTTAGAGAAACAATCTCTAAAACTCTCCTTGTTTTGAAGTATTCATTAATGAGAAACTCGAACCTAAGACGAAACCTATATCCAGTAGTGATCTTTTCAGGGGCCCTTAAACAAAAGCCAAGGTAAAATCCCCTTTCTGTTAATTGCCATCTCACCATCACCCCTGACCAAAAATAAAATAAAATCAAGGAAAATTAAATTAAAAATTTTAAACTGGGGACTACAAAGCCAATAAACAGAGCCAGTGCTAGGGCTCTTATGCTCTTTCTGTCTCTCTCTTTTTTTTCTCCCTCTTTCTCCTCCTCCTATGAATTCTCATCACTACTTCCTTCTGCGAACAGCTCGCTACTTATTCATCAACATAAACATGGCTGACAACTGCTATCCCACCCTGATTCTTCATGTCCTTTCTGTCCAAGTGAGATAGGAGGTGCTCAGTCCCCCTCAGAACAGGTTTCAGGCCCCTTCCCTGAGTCTCAAACCACTCCTGTAGGCCTCAAGCCCTGCCCCTAAGTCCTGAGCTATGGTGGCCTGTAGCACCCATTTTCGGTACCAGCACACGGAGATTGAGACAGCAAGGGCAGATCTATGTAATCTCATTTGCTGAGCATGCTCAGAAAGAAAGAGCTGATCCCTTAAATGACCTCCCACTGGAGGCACTAGAGAACACTGAATATATTTGAATATATTTGACACATGTGGTGGAATTTGAGCAATGAGCATGCTCCAAAAGAGACCATCTGAGTATGTGCAAGACTAGGTTACATAACTAGGAACCCCTCCCCAGTTGAATATTCATTAGATAATAGGAATATGTATTAGATAGTGAAACTATAAAAGCTGAATCCTGGCAGAAGGTGGGGCTGTTGTTCACTCTTTCTGGGGCAAGTCTGCACTCTGCCTGTGGAGTGTGTATTTCTTTCTTTTTCAAACTTGCCTGTAGCAGGATGCTATTCAATCTAGAGCCAGCCTGCACTTTGTCTGAGTGTGTATTTCTTACTTTTGTATTAAACTTGATTCGGGCCTTGCTCAGTCTCTGAAGCTAGGCTGCACTTTCTCTGTGAAGTCTGTATCTCTTATTCATTACATTAAATCTGTTCTCACTTTCTACTGTGATTCTGCTCTTGAATTCTTTCCCATGGTGGAGTCTAGAACCTGGTAAGAGGACGATGGGGTGGGTTGAGGTTGGCCATTGGGCTTCTCCAGACCCTCTCCTCCAGTGTCACAAGTACATGCTACAGTCTCTTCATATCTTAGTTCAGATTCTCAAGGGAGAAAATTGGATAAATTGCTGGCTAGTCAATAACAGAGATGCTATAGATTGGTGTGCACCCCTGGTCTAATTGCGGCAGCTGCAGGGATGAGTTCCATATTACAAACATGGGTACAGAACAGGTCCTGAAAAGGGAATATGTGCTAGCTGCTCTAACTCTACAGAGTCCAGGGAGAGGTTGGTTGCTCCTTCTGCCTGTGCCCTCCTGCTATTCATACTCTTCTTGTAGGGACCCCATGGGCGCCTGAACAGGGACACACCCTGGCAATATGGCGCCCTTCCTGGTTCTTCTCTGCAGTAAACAAGTCCACTGGCGCCAACACCCAAGCCCACCCGCGCCCAACCTCAGCCAGTCAC